TAGACCAATAATAGGTTCAATAGTCGCTCGATGGACCAGACGGGTATTTTTTATGAGTAGGATACAGTGCATGTAGGTCAATGGTGTGTGCGCGGACTCGGTGCAGACGGTGACTCACCGTGTTTACGGTGTAGTGATGTTGACCACCTGTTTTAAAGTTTGAGTATTTTGTGCACGAATCGAGTGGAAACAGAAAAAAAAATTCACTTTCAGAATGCTAGGTTTTCAGTTTTACATTTATTTTTATATGTAGATAATAGTCCGTCCGAGCTTTGATGTTGGACAACAGTGCTGTAACGGTGATTTTATAAAACATGATAAATTTAAATAACTCCAGGTAAAAAAAATGGCTAGTTCACGAACTCGACTATTGAATTATCGAATAATCGACTTTATTATGTAATAGGTCTTTACGCCTATTTTTGGTCGACGTATAGGTGCTTCTAATTTCTGATTTCGAACTAGAATCTAGATACTAAATTCGTACTAAAATCTAGATAAACAGTACCCAATAAACAACTCCGTATCGTGGAATAAATGAAGACATTTTTCGATATTAACCGTTCATACATTTCTAGCTAACGTTTCCGACGATAATAAATTCACCCGTATATCTACGTAGGCGAGCAAATATCAGATTATATTTCGGGGTGTAGCATCTCGCCTTGGGGGCTTCGGCGCGTCTATCGTGGAAGCTTTCATTGATGTTTCTTGTAAACTCACCTTGCGATTTATTCAAGACATTACGCGCATGCCGCTAGAGGTCGTCGCGTGGCATTGTCGGGATAATTCATTGAACTTTATTAGCTCTTAAATTATTAATCTCGACTTCCTGCACTTTACGTTCATTTAATCGTGTTACAGCGAGCAATATCATTATAAAACATACAAAAAAAGTTCATAATGCCCCATCTTATTTGATATTTGTGAAGGAAAACCTTTTTAATTTAATTTTCGCATAATATTTACATACAATACATAAATTCTCAATTATTTTATGTTGAATAGTACAACCGAAACTTCCAGACTATTCGAAGCGCTTAAATTAAGGAACAGTCGTAATGTTCAATAAATGATCTTTGTGCCGTCACCAGAGCTTAGTCTTTAGTGCAACAAAATGGAATACTGGCTGACTAATACAGATCACTTCTAAAGCCGCATCTCGAAGCTTTTAGACGAGAGCTTTCATCTCGGACTGAGTGAAAGCTCGAGGCCGTCGAGGCTCGTCTAAAAGACATCGAAACGAGTGTACGAAGGATAGAAATATACGTATATAGCTTGTGCTAATCTCCGGAAAGCAATTTTAGGGTTATTAATATGTGTGTGTTAATATAAAAAAATATTATATTATATTCTATTGAATCGAATTTTGGACAGTTGACGACCGCACAGTAAATTGTTTACGAATTTCAAGTTCTGCGTGAGCCATAAATATCCGGATTTCGATTATAGTCGATGCTCGATTTCAATTGAAGGATGCAATGCCGGGGATGCGATATTAAAATTAGGTTTTATTCGATTTCGTCGTGCGGCGACGCGAGAAGAGACAGTGACGTAAGCAAATAAATTCAAATGTAATTTTGCACAATTCTCGTATTCACTTCCACGAGTGAATTCAATAAAAACATCGAATACGTCGTCGCGAATGTACGCCGGGGGGGCGTATGTTTTGTAAATGAACGTAAGAAACAAATCCACTTCTACGATTCGACTGGATGTTCAAGGATCAAAGGTACACTCGCCCGCGTCTATCTATAGCATTATCGATTCGCTTTGTAATTATCATTGGGCCCGCGGGCGCCGACGGAGCGCCCCTTTGTGGGCCGTTTCGTAGGATTTTCATTGAGAAATGTGAACAACATTTCGATATATCGCGTTAGGTGAATGTCGTTTTCGGCCCTTTGTGCTTGAGTTACGAGAAAGTGCCGATTCATAATACCATTACTTCATATAAAATTTATTTTAATTTTGAATTACTATTTCAAATCCATATACCGATATGTACACGTTAAAGGCGGATCCAGCCCTCGAGTGAAGGGCGTTACAGATACGAAATTCGGTCAGGACAGGCTCTAATTCTATCACAATAGCAAGACAGAGGGGGTCATGACCCCTATGGCCCTCCTAGATCCGCGACCGATACACTTACAACATTTATGTGCAAGTTATCTTATAGTTGAACTTGGCCGATCACGGTGAATAAGTATTTCTTAAAATATTATTCGGAATTATGAATATTTACGACGACATACGGTGCGACAGGAGCCGTCGGGGGTTTCGATATGTTACGGGGCGAGCGGTTTCGGGCCGCGGGCGGACGCGCGTAGGCAGAAGACGCGCGCCCGTGAACCGGCCGCCACTAATTTTACCAGGAATGTTGGCAGCCATCTTGTAATTAATCATCGTCCACGCCGTCTCAGCGCCGGCGGCGCGCGGGAGCTGAATGAGTCGGAGTCCGGGGTCCGCGCGCGTGCCCGAGTCCCGCGCTAATTACCACTGCCCCGTCAGCGTTTGGGCATTGGATAGTTCACGATTGATCGTATCGGTATTAACATAGCACTCATTCTGTTTGAGTTCTTCAAAAAGACTTTTTTTTTTTAGAATGTCTAATATACTCTTTTTTATATTTTTTATTTATTTAGGGACTTTTGTCTGTGGAACATGTCAGTCCCGTCGAGCAAAACGTTTATATATAAAATTATAAAAGCGTCATTATTGATTTGAATCCTAGCATCTGTTTTTTATATACTGTTATTGTTTGATATACTCAATTGGAAGTGTCTTCACATTCTAACATAGATAATAATTTAAATGAAGGTTTAAAACAAGAATCCCCAAAATAACATGTAAAAGTACCAAATAAGAGTATAAACTGAAATCTTGATTAAAATATAATTTTAATCAGTGTGTGGTTAGAGTTAAAAATGTTACATAGCAATAAAAAATATTCTTGATTATAAGAATCAAAAAAATGTGTTCTTCAAAATTTCGCGCAGATTTCGTAATTTTTATATTGTAATCGCATATTATTTATTTGAAAATAAAATGACGTTGTCAAAGTATCAATAAGGCATTATTAAGACCGCAAACAATGCGTATTTACTCATACAAAATTTATCTTTAAAAAAATCGCTAACTTTCCACGCCTACTAACCAATAAAAACTCCGTACTAGTGCGTATGTACTTCCTATACATGTTTACGATGTATGACCGTATTTTTAGCCTCGTCTCATAATACATCATCCTAACACAGATCCAGTGGGCGGACGCCTGCCTGCTGGTGTACTCGGTGACGGACAGGAGCAGCTTCGAGTACGCCGGCGAAGTGCTGAGCGCCCTCCGCCGGGCGCCGCCCGCCAGCCCGGCGCACGGCGCCGCCGGCCCGCCCGCGCCCATGCCGCTGGCGCTCCTGGGCAACAAGACCGACCTCGACCATCTCAGACAGGTAAAACGATGTAAATAATAACAAAAAGAACGATAACAAATATCGTCGGACACACGTACGACACCATCTGGTCCCATCCTAAGTCGATAGAATGCACACCTACACCCACACATAAGTATATATATAATATAAATACATACATATAATAAAGATGGCGCGTAACAGAAAAACGTTACATTGCTATAAAATTTCTCCCATACGCCTATAAAGAAGTTTCACTTCAATAAATAGAAACAACTAAATTCAAAACAACCATTAATTTTAATCAAATAATATTTGCCTTGTGCGGGAACCAAGCCCTAGCACCCAGCGCAGCAGGTAGGAAGATCATCACCGACTGCACCTATCAGGCAGTTATATCATTTCTAAATCATATAATACAAATTTGAGTTATTGGAATATACAGTTATAAATACCCGCATTAGCTCACTGTTATTGACGATTTGTTAATGCAAACAATGGCAGCTCTTGCGAGTCAATGGAATACATTATACGGAAAAAGGAAAATGTAAATACAAACACGGATAATAAACGATTCGATTTGGCTGTATCTGCGTAAACACAGCCGACAAAATTGTGTTCAATGTTATTGTTTACCGACACATTGTACGCGTATTTCACAACAGGATATTGTAATAACAATGAAAACAAATTATCTACTAATGTCGACAAGAGATCCTATCGTCTCTACTTCGGGCCGTTTTATCTCTATTCATATCCGAAATCGTTGTTAAGAATCACCAGGGAAGTTTCGAGAATCATCTCGAATCACATGCTTTATAATGAACGAACGCGAAGTTTATAATGAACGAATCGTTACGGTAGTTTCTCGTTAACCAGTTTCTCTCATCGACGCTCGAACTTTAACGAGAAAAGTTCTTAAACATCTTCAACTGTTTCAACGGATCTCGGACGACGAATGTAAAGGCGGACGAATGGAATTAAGAAACTCTCGGATTCTGACCTTGTTCTTACTTTCATAAAATTTGCGAGATCGCTCTAACTTTGCGAAGTTCATTCGAGTTTCCTATGACAAGCGAATGTAGATCATAAAACACGTTAAAATTGTTGAATGAAGAAAATGTTATAATACCATCCATTTTGAAAATAAATACAAAGCCAAAAGGTAATATTTAAAAAAACTGACGTCTTAATAATAAGAAAACTCATGCAGAATCTTTGAGACACCCGGTTGGAACGAAGTTCCTTTCGTTATATGTAAATATATTTTATGAATTGAATAATGACAATGAAATTAATTAAAACGTTTAAAAGTAACTTAATAAATAATAATAAAATATAATTTTTTATAAGTACTTGTTTATTGAAAGTTTAAAATTGATACTCTCCAGAATTGAAACAATCCATGAGTTCATTTAATATTTTAGGAAAAAAAAAAGAGAATGATTAATTGTATACAAATAGTATAAATACTTTCAAAGGTTGTTTGAAAGTAATGAAATGAAAAATACAACAAAAAGAATGAAATAATGATAATGAAATATTATAAAATAAATTATAATTATAATAAACACCAAAAAAAAAGCCAGCATGACACGGTGTTCCTAAGTGGTCACCCGTCCAAGTACTGACCGCTCCCGAAGCTACTTAACTTCGGTGATCAGACGAGAACTGGTGTATTCAGTTCGTACGGACGTTGACGAACAAGTTTATAAAAATGTTAACTAAAGCAACGGCATCCGACATTTTTCGTTGCGGTTAAACTTTATTTCGTGTGGTTTCCATCCGCTGAGAGTCTGAGTGTAACATGCGATAAGGAACTTCATTCCAAAAAAAACGTGTTTCCAGTTGCCTTGTACTAATTAAGACGCAGAGTTTTTATTTTCTTTTTTAATTTTTAATAATTCAAAATACACGTTCACACACAAAACAATAATTAACCAATCAATCGTTGTATACATGTGAGTACATTTTAATTTAAACAAGTATATAACGATAATATCTAGAATAAAGTAGCCTAACTTATTTCTAAATTCAATAAAATCTTTTCAAAGGAAATTATGCAACCTTCACTTAAAAGGCTCGCGTGGTAATAAAATCAAAAGTTCAACCCATCGGAATACTTGTGTACATCGACAATAATAATTGACCAAATAGAGAAGGCATTGCTCTCGATTTATTAGCTCTTCGATCACGTCTGCTCATCGAGAGATTTAACAGAAAAACATTTCTGTTTGAACATTAGAATTACGTGCAAACAGATGATATAATAGAATTAGCAGTTACGTTTGATCGAAAATGTTTGCCGAATCAATATTTACGCGATGCTGATAAATATCGATAACGATTTCGCACAATTCTTTGACGTATTTGATTTTCCTTTCCTTATACACTTTTATACGATCATCACATTTATTTTGTTTGGCTTTCGTGATTAAATAGTACTCATATATGAAACTATATTTGCTTCTGCATCGAAATTATTACTTAATGAATTGAAATATCTGAAATTAAAAGCTTTGCGTAGGATGTCTAATATGCTATCGTTCGAGCCGTGACAAACTTTTAATTAAAATTGTATACCATAAAGCTCCCCATAAATCTATTTACAGTCCAAAGACAAACAGAACGGGGAGGAAACTCAAGTGTTTGCAATTTTGTAACAGGTAATATGGAGTTAAATTAAATTTATATTTCGCAAGACACGATGCTTTAGTCACAAAATAAGCTCTAATATAGATTCTGCAAACGAACTGTAGTTTGTTTATGGTATTATGAACAGAAGAAACACGAAGTCGAATGTTGTTCTACGACGAAATTTTACATACATTACATTCCGAAAATTAAAAAAAAACTGTAATCCATACGAAATCAAAATTTCAATATCTAGTAAAACTAACGTATGTTTAAATTAATTATATTATAAACTTCGCTATTTATCAACAACGACGTTCCCAATTGCGTACAAGAAAAAAAAAGTTTCATAAAGCAGCGTATTTCATCGCTTAACATAGATAAGAACCATATGTTTCTCAACGTATCAACGACATTGCGATGCTTTCAAGGCTTCTGGAAACCAAACAATGGCGGCGGGCCCCCGCGCCGCCCCGCCTCTATCCCCCTCGGCGTATTGTCTCCGATACACCCACATCGCGGCGCAGACGGGCGGACGCTTTCGACTGTGTACAAAATGACCGCGTCGGAAATTTACAATGCGTTGAACAGACGCCAGCCTGGAAATGGACCCGTCAACGGCTATCACAATGGAAGCCGGCGCGTACTGACATACATTCTACATACATTTGTATATTATTGGGATTGTTGTGAACACGGAGTCGGTTGTTCATGAACACCGATTTCTCAAATTCGCTCTGTACAATCAAAGTCTTCGGTTTGGGATCGGATGACATAACGATTATCCTTGTATTTCGTCTTAATACCGCATCTCATCGGAGGCCGTAATTTTTAAGTGAAATCACTGAGAATTTTTCAAGCAAAATTTGAAGGTTGACACGTATTGGATTAGTTTGTTTAAGAATAAAACTTAGTTTAGGTTAACGTGTCTATGTTCGAACAATGGCAAAAGCGAATTATTAGTTGTTTCAAAAATCATTATGCCAAGTACTCACATACGTTTATTAAGTATAATCTTACCGATGTCTACTCCATATCACCTCTTCGAATTGTCGACTGGGTTCTGTCATCTCTGGATGAATTTGTTCCTTCAACAGTACTTTCACAACACCAAGTACATAAATGTGACAAAAATGTTTTACCGGAAGGGGGAGGTGGCGAGTCACAAGCTCTGAGACGTCACACATATAACTCTAAACTTTGACTGTAACTACTTAAGGTGTCGTGCTTTGCAAACTTTCTAAAATTTTCGGTTTATTGTTGATTTTGTTAACATATATTTTAAATTTAAATATGTAAATAATTTTAAAGGTGCTGTTTCAATTTAATGATTTCTAAATTTAAAATAGCAAAGTATTTGACGTCACACCAGGGACGTGGGTCATAAGAATATGACCACCCGTGACAAGAACGGGGGACACTCTAAAATTCATTAAATAAGTGCAATATAAATTGCGGATGGAGAGGACAATGCGATAACAATAATATGTACCTATAAAAGAAATAGTTTACGTGCAATAAAAATACATATTATTGCTCGGTTCCAAATACACACCTAGGCGACGTGTCATACTTATTTTTGCTCTATGTAAGTGGTAAAAGTGTTTGTACATGATCGATAAGCTGTATATAAAAACAAATGTAGCTGGTCGAGCGATATCTGTCTCGTAGACTTAGAGGTGACTTTCAGCGCTCTCGGTAACGTAACTATTACGTATCGTAAATAAAACTTCCATGACATTGACGCAGGTCACCGCATTAATAAACTAGATTAGGTATGATATCTGGAAACGAAGTGGATATTTTCGTATTCCGAGAATAACTCGTATATGTTGCAGTGAATTTTGGCTACCTAGTTTTGGTATACTAGAGACACGTTTGGTTTCCCAAATCGATGTAATTTTGGTTGTTATTAGTTTTAAGGCAACGTATACTCGACAAAAAAAAGCGTAAACCTTATAGGCGTGTCTGTCTGTGTGTTCCTCTGTTAAGGTATACTTTGTTCGAATCTACTGTACGAAAATGTTGCCATTTGCCACAAGCACAAAGTTAGGGGATGCGATAACGAAAACATTGCGCTAACACGAATTCCCATTTTGGGAGTTAATAAGAGAATTACAAAAATAAATTTTAGACCGATACGCGACTTAATATATCTGAAAGTGAACGAGTTCATTATGAGAATTAAAACCCATTTTTTAAATTTAATTTTAAAACGCCTAGTTTGAAAGGTATTTTTAAAACACATAAAAATTGAGCACATCCCTTACACGTCTGAAACTATAAATATCTGGAATTATATAAAATCTAAAATTAAATCTGGAATTTTCCTTAGTCTTCCGAAAACCTATAGCTTAAAGAAAAACCGGAACAAAAATCTGAAAATCTAAGTCTAAATTATGAGAGATTAAAAATACTTGCGGAGAAAAAATTTGTATATTTTTTTTTAATTTACCGAAAATTAATGCGATGATTTGTAATACGGAACGCTAGCCACACGAGTCCAACTTGTACTAGTTTGGTCATTGATATTACAATATTACAACAAAGATTATTAAAATTATTAATATTCCATGTATCTTAATTTAATACACCTCTATAATGCCCAGATTTTAATTATTTTTCCCGGAACGCACAGACAAGTTCGTAAATGAATAACGTTTTTTTCTTCAGGTAACAACCAAAGAAGGCCAAGCGGTCAGTGCAGCACACAGCGCCTCCTTCAGTGAGGCTAGTGTCGCCGACAACTCGGGCGACCTCTACCGCTGCGTTGATAAACTACTAAGCGAAGTTCGTGCGCCCCAACGCACGAGAAAATTTTCAGTCACGAAAATGCTGGGATCGCTAATAGGTAGATTAAATATATTCTTTAGATAATAATGATTATTACTGGTATTAGGGCTTTTATATTTACAATAATATTCAATAATAATTTTTTTTTTCTATTAAAAATTGCCTTTATATTGTAAAAAGAACGAATCTAAAAAGCATTATTAAGCGTGATATTAAATTTGTTGACGCAATTTGAATGAATTCTAATGAAGTGTAGTAGAATCTGCATCCGACAGGCGGGCCCCGGGTCGGGCGTCAATATTGGGTTTCTGCTTTCAGGCGTATTGCAAACACAACCGTTCGTATAACAAAGACATATTGCTTAACTACGCCGCAAAAAATTGCTTTTTTTTTCGGTATTATATTTTACGTAGAAGTTTAATGTGGATTCTTTGTGTGCTTGTATTAAAAAACATAAAACATTTGAATATTGAATCAAGTATGTAACTTAGCAAATGATGTGATTTAAAGAAAAACAAACTACGAACTTGATGTGACTTGTTATTTGTGTTTTTGAATTATTCAAGTGATTGTTTTAATTACAATCTAATAAATTTTTGTAATTCTTTTGTCCGGCAGGTGGCACGGCAAACAGCACATCATCGAACCGCAGCGGCTCGATGGTGGCCTGCCCCCGCGTGCCCGCGCCGTCGCGCCCCCCTCTGGCGGCGGCGGCGCCCTGACCGCCCGCTGCGCCCGCGCACCGCGCCCGCTGATGCCTCCCCGGCGCCATGTGGCTCGCTTGTTTGCCAGTACCGATGAGATTCGCTACACCATCCGCCACGTTATCTGCTGCAGTTTAAGTTAACAATTTAGAGTCGGTGCTAAAAAAGAAAATGATATCTCTAATGACTTGAACCTAAATTAAAAAAATTATGTACAGAAATCTTGGTATAAGAATAAATTTTAATTTATGAAGGAAATTCATTCGGTTTGGGGATTATCACCCACCAGAACTGTTGCTTGACAAGAGCTTAAAATTTAAATACAATACAAATAAGGTTTATAATTCTTTTGTTACCATTCAGCAGTATCGTAAATAAATTTATATTATTTAAACCACAATAAACTCATTAATAGCAATAATTTTAGAATTAATAATCACAATCACTTCAATTCATATCGTGTGAGATAACGAACAATAAATATAGAAAGTTTTCAAGGAAGTGCGTTAAAAGGTTCATCGGTAGTGACCAACAGCTGCAAAACGATTTGATGCG